AAATGCACTTGGATTGGTGATAAAATGTAACCCTTAAAGGGTTACTTTAACACTGCAAAATTTACTGTGATTTATCTCAGTTTAGATTAATAGAACTATGCTTAACTTAGATAAATAACAGCATCCATAGCTTTGAGGTGTTTTAAATGTTGTGGTTTCTGTTGTGACCTCCTGGATGAGTTGTTAATCATTCTTGGACTACTTTACGTAGGTCAGATGCTTCATCACTGTTAGATATGTTTGATTTTTTTGCTTTTTGGATTAGTACTATTGCTGTGAATACCCAAAGCCTTAGAAGTAACCTTATAACCCTTTAAAGACTGATAGATTACATTATATTTTATCTCATTTTGTGTTCTAGTTCTATTGAAACAGAACAAAATATACAATTTGTCATTAAATTATATATCCATGCTTTTTGCACTTACCTTTGATAGTAGAATTTGTTTATCAGGAGTATTAAAATCTGATTTTAAAAAATCAATTATAGGCGATATCTGTAAAGAGGCAGATGCTGTTTTCAGCATTTTTTTAACTAAATATCTACATGAGTTAAAACTAAAAGAACATACGGTATGTAGGAGCACTATAGGCTGCATGCAGTAAATATTCATGTGTATATAAAGGAAAAACTGAAATAAGCTTAGTTTAACGGGTCGTGTTTTATTTTATCAAAATATTTTAGCTGTCATCTGTTGAACGCATGCAGCTGAGATTGATGTCAGTTTGTTTTTCAGTTTAATTTTTTCCTACAGGACTGTCTTTCTTTATTTTTCCCCTATAATCCCAGACTACTTATAAAAAGATGTGCTGATTTTCTCTATGATCTTGCAAAATACTTCATACCTACCTGTAGCTGTGGGAGAAATTGACTTGAAATAACATGATGAGCAAAAGCAATTTTTGGGGGGAAAGGGCGGAGGGGGGCTATCTATCAGGATGTAGGGATTGGTCTTGTGTTTGCAGGGCAGAGCACCCACTCTTTCCAGCTCTGTGGTTGTAGTAAAAGACTTCACCTGCCTTACCTGCTGCTGCTGGTCAGGGTGCTGGTGGTGTAGTTTTGTTGTCTCCTCACCTCTGTCAAACTGACCCAGGGCTACGTTATAGCTTACCGCAATCAGTGTGTGGATGAATGTAGTGTAAAGCTTTGGGTCCTTGGACTTGAAAAAGTGTTATGCAAGCAAAGGCCATTAGAAGTGTGTTTTTTATGACCTTCATGGAAGACAGACAGAAGTTTAAGGAAAATGTTGCTTTATATGATCATCACTGTATCTAACAATGTTATCGACACAATTCCCAATACTCTTGGACTTTACAGCCAATTAACTCTAGCCCTAGAAATTACTAAATATTCTGAACAGTCTTTTAATATTTATTCAGATTCAGAAACGTGTGAAATGATTACTGTGATTACTCTTTCATTGGATATTTGTTCAGTTTGCCCTAATCTTTTTCTACATAATCTATTTAACATCATTATTACTCTTCAACTAATTACTCACACAGTGATTTGATATCTATCAACTATTCATTTTAACTATTCTGGTTAAGATGTTTTACCAAAACAAAAATCAATCCAATGGAATTACAATTACATCTTTTCCAATTTAAACCAATGATAAAACAATACAGTCAGTTTACTTTATTACAAAAATTGGTATAAAAAAAAAAAAAAAAAAAAAAAACGTTTTCTAAGAAATCAAGCAGATTGCATGCAGTCATTCACTTGCAGAATTCACTCCTCCTGGATAGATAACATGTTGCTACTGGGGCAGTTGTTTGCATTGTTGTACATGCTGGTGAAGGATCTCAGTTATCCAGGTCATAGTCATTCCAAAAAAATTAAAAACAATCCACTGGACTTGGTTTCCAAGTTGAAGACGTTTAGCTTCCCATCCAGGAAGCTTTTTTCAATTCAAAATGTCAGGAAGAAAGAAAAACCAACCTTAAACAGAGGGGGTGGCCTCAGGTTCCAGCTTTCAAAAACTTACAATGCAGATTTTGAGTTAATCCCTTCCCGTTACACAGTGGAGGACCTCGTCTATTCAGCTAGGCCAACAATCACCTTTAAAGACCGACCTTTCAGACACTTAGATGGGTATGGGGTATTGCAGTCTAACAACAGAAGCCAGACGACCCCCATTCCAAATGGGTGGGCCCCTTCGTCTGTTCCAATTTGTATGTTTTCTAAACAAAAACACTACTGTATAAAACCTCGAACTCAACGTTATTCCTGACATTTTGAATTGAAAAAGCTTTCTGGATGGGAAGCGAAACGTCTTCAACTAGGAAACCAAGTCCAGTGGATTGTTTTTAATTTTTTCGGAATTTGCATTCTGTTGTTGAATTTGCTGTAATCGCTCATGATCATTCACATAGCTTATGGAGCAGTAATAACTTTATGGGTTGCTTTATAAAAAGATAGATCCTTTTAAAAGTTAAATCATTGGCATCCTCCATAACATGATAACAGCATGTGAGGCAGCATTGGAAGTATTTGGACTGTTTAGTTTTCCAAGTCATCAAAAGTATTTGCATCATCTAAACCTTCAACTTCTATGTTTGACCAAACCTGAATCAAACCAGGGAATCCGTGTCCTATAAATGTTAACCTTTACAGTACTTGTGGATACATGAGGAATCAACACGATCAACAAGAACATCAGTTTATGAAAAGGTGGAAAGGGAGTGGCTCCCCTCCACTGTTACTGTCTGATAATTATCTTCTAAGAAAAAAAGTATTTCAATGTTGGAGAGCTCCACTAGATAAAACTCAAACATTAAACTCAGTGATCAGTACTGATTGTTGATTAAAAGCTCAAATACTAGATTTTTCTTTCTGTTTATGAATAAGAAAAATAAAAACACGCTTTGTGTTTAAGATCATCAACTAACAGACTTGACAGGATGTTCTTCTCTGCACTTTGGGGTTTAAAAAGATTTGATAAAGGTGAGGGGCATACATGTGGACTGTTTGTTTTATATTTAATTGTTGAATAAAGGAAAGTTTCTCCAGCCGATTTATCCTAATTAGTACACCTTTAACTTTTATGTCAAGCACATTTTTACATTTGCAAAGGCTGCTGATTATTATTCCTCTGTTTGTTTAAAGGTATTGGGTCCAATCTATAGCCTTTAGAAAGTATAAAGAAGATAAAGTGATCTGGTGCTGAATTGTCTTTCATTTGCACGCAAGAAACTCGCTGCATTTTATACCTGTTCCTTGTTGCAGGCTCATTATACACGGTTCACACCCTTGCGCTGGATTTTTGTCCAGCTGCCAAAAAATGTGTGTGTTATACAACAATGTCAAGTCATTTTTGGAGGAAGCTTTCCGGAAAAGCTACCGGAATATTCTAGGTTCTTGTACTTCTCTATAGCCACCCTCTTGGATTAATGACCAGTAATTCCGTTAAAACTCAAACCCTCCTTCACTGTTCTCAGAAAGATACCGAACCACGGAGGCAAAGCAAGAGTGCAGCAGCAATGTTATCATCTAAGTGACTTCTTAACGTACCATGTCAGGAATAGTGTGGTGTTTAACCGGCATGGGTGGGGTTGTGTACTGTTTTGACACCTCTGTGGCCAGCAGGCCTTAACCTTTGACATCCAGCTGGTAAACGAGATAGTGGAGTGTGACAGGAAAAGGGCTTGGTGGTCCTGTTTGTAGCTGTTGCTGAGGTGTTTGTGTCGATGATGGCTCCCTGTATCGCTGCCAAACTATGTGCCTGGATGGTCTGCTGTTATCAAGGGACAGATTTACAATTGGGCTCCAATTACTCAGATTATAATTCACTCTTCACAAATAGATGTTTGGAATCATGTACTGTATGTATTTAAAAGTATGTTAAAATATAATTTTTTACTTGTTTTGAGATGAACCAAGTCACCCCTCTTATTAACTTCTGTTTCAGCCTCCGAGGACGCTTGTCATGACCAGCATGCCAACCGAGTAAGTTCTATTTAGTTGTTAGCTCCAATATAAACATAGGCTTTACATAAACTACTTCAAATACATGAATGAACTAGTTTGAAAAAAGTATGAAAGGTTTTTCTTTTGCCCCCTTCACCTCCTTTAGGAAGCAGCAGACCGTGGTGCAGGTGGTAAAAGCTCTGGGTGGTTTTTCAATCGTCGACCGAGTGTGTGAGAGCACAACTCATGTAGTGTCTGGGGGACACAGACGGACTCTGAACATCCTGTTGGGTATCGCACGTGGCTGCTGGATCCTGTCTTTTGAATGGGTATGGAAATGTTCAAAGCCATGTCTATGCACTTCCGAAAACCCAAGATCTTTCAAACATGTTTGACTTAAGCTTTATTTGTGAGTAGATTCTGTGGTGTTTGGAGCAAAGACAGTGGATTCCAGAGGAACCATATGAGCTTTCAGACCAATTTCCTGCTGCACAGGTAATACCGTACTACATTCATACAGTGATAATTAATCCATTAATCTAATCCAGTTATTTTCAAAGTTAAAAAACTCTTATTAGCATAATTTATGGGTTTAGTAGCGAATTACTACTACAGCAATGAAAGCTGGATTAGTCCTACCTGATGCATCGACTCAACTTCGACTTTATTGTCAAATGATCAACTTTGAAAAATCGTAACTTGATAAAGCCCTTCTGCTCCATGGATGCCTCATTATGCCCCTTATTTTAAAGTATTCACCAAACATCCAGAGACAGTAGATAGAGAGAATATGATGTACGGTTACACTTCATTCCGGATAAAAATATCTGGTTATTATTGGTGGTGGTGGTTTAGCGTTTAGAGAAGAGAGCATCTTTGTACTGGAAAAGTCACAAAAGTCCCCAGTTTGAAATTCAGATCATCACTGAACAAGAACTTTAATCTCACTATGCCCCCATTTGCCACCCATGTTTGCTCAATTCCCTACCCTGGATTCAGTAACATAAAGTAATATCTGTTATTTAATCATTTTCAACTGATGACTTGGTATTTATGAACAGAAAGGAACACTACACAGATTTTGACCCTTTAATATTTATTGTGTATGTTGTATTTGAGAAAACCAAGAAAGCTTTTTTAAGGAACAACATAGAACATTTTCCAGTTGTTTAAAGCGTTATTGCCTGAGTCTATAGATCGGTTAAACAGAAGCAAACTTTAAACCGAATTGTTGACGATATTCCAATTTTTACTAATACAACTGAATCCAAAGCATATCTGTCTAAAGAACCAAAAAATAAAAAACAATTCATGAAGCTTTCTAATGAAGTAAACTAATGGAAAACTTCAAACTCCATGTGTCTTAATATTTCAGCTCATTCATAACAAAACAAATGATCCCAAAATCTGTTTTTTTTTTTTCGCTCAAAAACATCACAGTCATGTAAGGACATGTTGGAATCTATGGCAGAACATAGTAAAACATATTCTCTCGAATTTGTTTGCATAGACAGTGTTAAACAATTTTCCTTTACATGTAATAGAATTAAATATCATCCCTTATACCAACATATAAATTAAACAAATGTACAGACATTCTGTTAAACGAAACGACAAACAACACTGGATCTATAGAAAGACATTCTTGTGGCTTTAACATTTAAATCATAAAATATAAATCTGTAATGCATAAAAAAGCACTTACAGACAGTTACCTATCTGCATCTTGTACCATGTTTTATATATACAATATAATTAGTTAGTATTCTTATCACAGTTGGGCAAATAATTACATTTTGCTGAAGTATAAGTTATGTATTAATGTTTCTAACTTTAACTCTGGCGTCTCCTGGTTAACAGAACAGAGCTGATATGCCTAAGGTGTCTTACCCATTTTATGTGCACAAACCCCTTCAGATCAAACTAATAAAGACATAAATAAGAAGAAATTCATACTGAAACATATTTATGAAGTGCTGTGGCTTCCACTGAAACCTTTAATTTTGGTACTAGTGTTTTCTGGGCAACATTTCTGTCTCACTTCACTTATTGAATTTGGGTTCAAAGCAAGGCTGAATAATCTGTCGGTCTAATCATCATGGTAGTGGACTTCAGCGAGTATCCTGATCCTTTCCAGTAGTACCATTTGATCCCGTTAAAGCGATTGGAGTTCTGGCCGTTCTGATAATAAATCCCGTTCAGATTGGATGGACCACAGGCATCAAACCACCAGCCTAAAAGAAAAAAAGGCATTGATAAAAAAAAGGTTGACGGCTGAACAGAACATGTGTTTGGCCTTTTATTACCGTATTTTCACGACCATAAGGCGCACCGGACTAAAAGGCGCACTCTCAGTTATGTGTCCCATTTCTGTATTTAACACACACATAAGGCGCACCGGACTATAGGGCGCGTTTTTTATATACAGGTACAAGTCCTCTACTACCTTTAAATACCTCTACTGCATATTTAAAAATACAGCGGGGGCAAAACTGAGTATGACTGTGCTTTATTCATGTATTTATTACAAAGTATTAATCAAACCTGGCAGCTGGCCGTGAGACAGAGACATCGCAGATGACACAGCGCTGTGGTCACTCCTAAATTAACTTAAAATCCTGAAACCTGCTGACGGAATATGTTCGCTTTTATTGCCGGTATCCTGGTGCCTGCAGCTAAAATTATTTAGATGAAAAACACCTGCCAGCAGCCGCGGTGAACCCCAGGCTGCCCAGCCTAGAGGCTGCTGATGAAGAGATTTCTGCTGTCAGCGCACCGCTGGTATGTGGGGGTCTGAGCGCCTCCGACAGAAATAGATAATCTGGATGAACTGACTGCAATTATTAAGTTTTCAGGTGGACTTTCTCACTTAAAAACATATTAAAACTACTTTATTCCCACTGATCACAGCAAATATAGCTGCAAGATTTAGATTATTTAGATGAAAAAACACCTGCAAGCCACCGCGATGAAGAGGAGGAGACGCGCCGGGGATGCTGTTGAATTAAGTTTTCAGGGAGAAAAATACAGCGGGAGCAAAACTGAGTATGATTGTGCTTTATTCATGTATTTATTACAAAGTATTAATCAAACCCATCAAAGTCATCATCCTCTGTTTCTGAATAAAACAGCTGCGCTAAATCAGACATGTCAGTTTCCCCTTCTTCGCTGTCAGTCACTTTCCGTGCAGCGCAGCTCCTCAGAAATAATGCCGGCTTTTGCGAAAGCTTGAACAACAGAGCCAGCAGACACTTTAGTCCAAGCATCTACAATCCATCCGCAAACTGTGGCGTAATCTGCCCGGCGCTGCCTTCTTATCCTGAAACTGTGGTCTCCGTCGGTCATCCATCGCTCCCACGCCGCTCGCAGCCTTACTTCGAACGGCTGCTTCACACCGATGTCGAGCGGTTGAAGCTCCTTTGTCAGACCCCCGGGATAACGGCGAGCACAGCTTTCATTTGATTCACCTTTTTTTCACATCGGCTGTGAGATGGGCACGCAGCGATGGTGATGCGTGGAAAAAACCACCTAGTCTTCTCACATACACCTGCCTCAGCCACGCATCCATCCAGCCTTTTCCATTTGCGTTAATATCATATGTCATCAGAGCGCTGTCTGTCTCGCTGGCAGCTCCCAGATCAGCTTCTCTGATTGGTTGATGCGGCGCGTCCAGCAGCAAAACTTCAATTTTTCCATCTCGAGCAGCAGAAGCGCGGCGCTTCAGATGCTTAAACGCTCCCGACGTGCTGCACCAAAATGCGCTGCGGGACCTTTTGCTGCACCTATATGCGCGTCAACCATTGACTTTGCATGTAAACTCGCTGCTTCTGCTGCACCTGCTGCGTCCGGTTCACACCGATGTCGAGCAGCGTTAATTTGTTTCCCCATGTTTTTCACATCAGCTGTGAGATGGGCACGCATGGAGTTACATATTAACAGCGATGGTGAGGGGTGGAAAAAAAACACCTGGTCTCCTTACATTCAGCCACTCTTTCATCATCTCCTCAATGAGGTGGTCTCAAAAGTCGCAGTTACAACACACATAAGGCGCACCGCACCATAGGGCGCACCGCACATTTTGAGGGAAAAAAAAGACGTTTAAGTGCGCCTTATAGTCGTGAAAATACGGTAAAACAGTATCTGGGTTTAGGGTTAGAAGCTACTGCTGTGATTTAAGGAGTAGTTAAGAAGATTTCTACAAAGGGTTTCTAAAAAAGGCTGTAAGCAGTTAACAACTGACCTATAATATATAACTCTTACCTTTTTCATTTAAATCCACACTTTTTGGGCCTAAAGGCCAAAGCTGGCGGCTGCTCCAGAAAAATAAATACAGGAGCCTTCTAGTACTTATAGTATCTTCAAACAACCCCAATCTCTAAATTGCTGTAGCAATTTTTTCTGGCACTAGTTTGTGAATGTTCTAGACTTAGACAAACTTTATTGTAATTTTGTATACACAGAGTGTATAAAAAACTAAATTTCTTTTATACAGCTTTCCAACAGTGAATGAGCAGCAGCTTAGCAGTGCAAAGGAACATTTCAATTCATAAAGTGCAGCAGTGATCAGATGTACACAGTGTGGGGGAGATATGGTGCAAAAAGGCATTGATATGGATGGTTAAGACCAATGCAAAATACATAAATAGATATGGTGCAAAACGCAGTAAAAATATTGGTGTTGAATTCTATTTTGAAGATTCACCATGTAGTGCAAGTATAATGCTATCAATGCCATGCAGAGTCTTGATTTGTTGCATTGATTTAGATAAAATAATAATTATTATTTCCACATATAATCAATATTTCCACAAAATAACATAAGCCACCTTTCCCCATCTGGGTGCCGCCTATTTCATGATGCCTCCTATTATACTGCTTCTGGCAATTAGGCTCGTCAAGGTGCAAGACCTCTCACAGTTGAAAAATATGTTTTGTTACTCAGACACTGTCACAAAATGACAGTCTGGCTTGCCCGGCTAACTGAAACATGCATGAATAAAATGAAATTCCACTTTAAAGATCAAGCTCTTTAAAGATTACTTATAGGCCACCATATATGAGGATTTTTTAATTTGAGGTTCTGTGCCTCCCTTAAAAAAAAAAAAGGCCCTGTCCCCTGAAGATGAGTACCAGGTGAAAGCCAACCATATACTCAAAACGTTTCAGACTTTAAGCATGTTTTTTTTCCTTAAACATGCATGCTTACTAGGGCAATGGTGATGGACACCTGATCAATAGCAATAGAAAATACATCCAATAGATTGTTCTACAATTTCCTTGAACTCTGATCTTGAAACAAATGGCATTCTGGGGGATGTAGGTAGAGGAAAGGACTTAGCCTCTCGCAGCTAAGCTAAGCGAGGTTGGTAGTAGGGCTGACCTCTTTTTAAAGGTTGGAAAATGCATTTAAATCGGGTTAGGATTACAGTTTAAATTCTGTATATTTTCTCTGATATTTCTTAAATATTTCTAAAACATAAATCCAATCTGTAATAATAAATATTGACTGATGTGAAAGGCTTATATTGGGATAAACTTTTAAGCCATATCCCACAGCCTTAATTCCACCTAATGCATGATCTAAAGTTACCTAAAAATGAAAAACATGGTACTAAATTAGATACAGGTTAACTGTGAATTCTGAAATAACTCATATTTATAAGCTTTACAAAGTATTTCATTTAATAGTTAGCTTATAATGCTAAACTACATCAGAATTAGGTCCGTTTCTGTTTTTACCTAGAATTGAAGGAAAAAGAAGTGCTGAGTTTTTTAAGAGGGGTTATTTATTAATATTATTAATGCAAGTTGATTACTGGCGGCTCAACCAGTGGTCTGGTTATATCAGGCATGTGCAGTTTGATTATTATACACTTACTGATAGTGATGAGAAGCTTTCTACATAATTATATCCCTATTAAATCCACCCCTGCAAATCTTTTTCATCATCAGGCTTTTATCAGACTGTAATCATTGCGGGATTTTTCTGTAGCTCATACTGATGAGGTCTGCTATGACATTTCTATTGACAGTTCCAGAGAATATTCGTGTTTCTCCTCAGAACAATTGGTATGTGTCTGTTTCTAAAATGCACTTGTACCTTTAACAGAGAGCAGAGACCTGTTTGTTGAAGAAAACAAACATCATCATTAATGCTGAGGTGGAGGATATTACAATGGCATAACAATGTTTGATATGCAAGTTTACTTTTTTTATTCTATTTTTATCATGAACTTCACTTGGCAGACCTGGTTTCAGATAAAGACAATCGTCAAAAAGCCGAGTCACCTTTAATGGGGAGGTTGAAGGGTTTTATTAGCTACCAGAGGAGAGAGGGAAAAGCTCTGTTCCCAGGCTGTTAATGTCAGCTATTGTCAGTGTTGAACTCCCCAATGAGCAGATCAGTGATTAAGTCTGAGCTAATTGTGCTCTTTGACACAGCCTCAAAAGTACACCGGCCCTTAAAATGTCCTTGAAGACTTTGGGGCTAGTGCCAGGTGTTGTGTTAGTGGGATTGTTTTCTTTATAAGTAGCTAACCCTTCCTAATAAAAACATTTTATATTTATATTTGGTGGCAGGATCATTCAGGAAGAAAAATAGTTTGAAAATGAGATGTTTTTCTTACCTCCTGTTGTCAGCTGTGAACACTTGCATACACATTTGTCATTGTCTGCATCCTTTGTACTAAAATCACTTCCTGGCTGCCCAATGCTGCTTATTTTGCCTGCCGTTCCAGTGTAGCCTTTAAGGTGTATCCTGTAGAAAGGAGAAGAAAAAAATTAAGGAACAGGAGGAGGAAGTCTATGATTACTGTTCCTCAAAAGGCAAGACTTTGTCCACCTATATAGCTTTTTGTTTTCTTTAAATAATCTATCAAAAGCTATTAGTATCAGTATTACCAATTTGTTTTTTTTTCCCTCAGAATTTCATGAGCAGTTTTAATTGCATTAAAAATGTTAATTTCTGCACGATTTCTTGTGGTTGAATTACCACCTTAAAGAGTTACATCAACTCCCAGAGGGACTGGAAGTACATTGTTAAACTGGAACACTGTCTGTTAATTCCAAAGAAACCAGCTCTTTCTCTGTCAGCCTTCGGACATGAGGGTTTTGTTATTGCCAAATCTTCAGACTGACTGTCAATAAATTATATTTTGATGCATCTCCTGTTTTTCAAACTCTGACCAGTTTTATTAGATTTTCTTGGGCTTAAGCCAACTAGTTAGTGTGAGGATCTTTACCCTGGAAAAATTGCAATGACATGTTTTGCCTTGGAATTTTCAGTTGAAATCATTTAGAATTGTATTTATTTTTTTATTTGGTGATTTGATCTCTAATGTAGAAATATTTCTTGTTAGGAATAGAATGGTGAGTAAAAAATACTCTGATGGCATTATGGGATTTCCATAGAAATTGGAAATAGAAATTAAAATCTAAATGTCTTTATTGAAAGTAAAATAATAAACAAGGCTGATTTTTATCATACACAGAGCTGGAATAGAGTGTGCAATGTTGCAATTGCAAACGATAGCTTGGATGCAATAATGGGAGCGGTATATTATTTTTTAAGGTTTAATGAAATATTTTTTTGTTCTATTCACTGATGTATCCGCACACTTGTATTGGGTTGTGGAGTTTGTTGAAGAAGGGTCAGAAGGCTAGTAAGATATGGATTCATTGAAAAAGATACCATCAACACTATTGAAAAATAATATAGTCATTAGTTTTGCAGCTGTGGATATAAAATGTTTTATGAGTCATGTGTTTTGCTTGCTTCATAAATTAAGTAAAAGAAAACAGAATGAACACCAACTAAATTAGGTATAAGCTCCTATGTAGTTATTGTGCAAAATAATTTACTTTGCTGACTTTCTTTTCTCATTTTAGAGTAATTGAGTTGTAACAAAGTGATGTTACTATGTTATTCATTCATGCTATCCTTACAGAGGCTAGCCTTCTTGATTTGTGCTGCAATTTATGTTTCTTTGATAATGCAGGATGAGAAATGCAGAAATCAATAGGAAAAACTATATTGTATATCCTTATACTAATAACCAGCCCATGTCTTTTTGTAGTGCTGCGAAGACTTCTGTGTGAACTTTATTTTTCTGTGTTGCTCAGTTTTGCATAAATTCATATTTAATGTAGTTTATCAAAATTATCCCCAGTGAAATTATGGATTTATGTGTCAATCTTAACAAGGAAAGTAATTTCTTTAGAGTAATTGAAAAGCGTGATATTTTGTGCTTTACTCTTTGATTGTGCTTTACCCTCTTTTTTAGCAATTACACTATATTGCCAAAAGTATTTGCTCACCTGCCTTGACTCACATATGAGCTTAAGTGACATCCCGTTCCTAATCCATAGGGTTCAATATGACGTCGGTCCACCCTTTGCAGCTAGAACAGCTTCAACTCTTCTGGGAAGGCTGTCCACAAGGTTTAGGAGTGTGTTTATGGGAATTTTTGACCATTCTTCCAGAAGCGCATTTGTGAGGTCGCACACTGATGTTGGACGAGAAGGCCTGGCTCTCAGTCTCCGCTCTAATTCATCCCAAAGGTGTTCTATCGGGTTGAGGTCAGGACTCTGTGCAGGCCAGTCAAGTTCATCCACACCAGACTCTGTCATCCATGTCTTTATGGACCTTGCTTTGTGCACTGGTGCACAGTCATGTTGGAAGAGGAAGGGGCCAGCTCCAAACTGTTCCCACAAAGTTGGGAGCATGGAATTGTCCAAAATGTCTTGGTATGCTGAAGCATTCAGAGTTCCTTTCACTGGAACTAAGGGGCCAAGCCCAGCTCCTGAAAAACAACCTCACACCATAATCCCCCCTCCACCAAACTTTACACTTGGCACAATGCAGTCAGACAAGTACCGTTCTCCTGGCAACCGCCAAACCCAGACCCGTCCATCAGATTGCCAGATGGAGAAGCGCGATTCGTCACTCCAGAGAACGCGTCTCCACTGCTCTAGAGTCCAGTGGCGGCGTGCTTTACACCACCGCATCCGACGCTTTGCATTGCACTTGGTGATGTATGGCTTGGATGCAGCTGCTCGACCATGGAAACCCATTCCATGAAGCTCTCTGCGCACTGTTCTTGAGCTAATCTGAAGGCCACATGAAGTTTGGAGGTCTGTAGTGATTGACTCTGCAGAAAGTTGGCGACCTCTTCGCACTATGCGCGTCAGCATCCGCTGACCCCGCTCCGTCAGTTTACGTGGCCTACCACTTCGTGGCTGAGTTGCTGTCGTTCCCAAACACTTCCATTTTCTTATAATACAGCTGACAGTTGACTGTGGAATATTTAGGAGCGAGGAAATTTCACGACTGGATTTGTTGCACAGGTGGCATCCTATCACAGTTCCACGCTGGAATTCACTGAGCTCCTGAGAGCGACCCATTCTTTCACAAATGTTTGTAAAAACAGTCTGCATGCCTAGGTGCTTGAATTTATACACCTGTGGCCATGGAAGTGATTGGAACACCTGATTCCAATAATTTGGATGGGTGAGCAAATACTTTTGGCAATATAGTGTATCTTTAGATAACAAAGACACTAATAGAAGGTTATGCATGAACAGAACTGTATTTTGCTTCAAGCTATATTATTAAAAGATTTAAAATACTGGATCTAACCTGTAATTTTGTGCTTCGCCGTCCAGAGAGAACTGATCATATTGAGAGAAAGCCGAGTTTCCTTCCCAGTCGCTCAGCTTGATTCTTAATTTGTATGTTTTCTGACTTGTCAGTTTGGAGACAAATTCATTTCCCAGCCAGTATTCACCTGAAGGTTCTCCAAATCCCTGAAAAGACACAAAGGAAATGTGATTAAACTGTATGAAACCGCTGTGAGACCACAGCTTTGTTTCCTTTTTTCCTTCTAAAAAAACAAAAAAAAAACCCCAGCAAAGTTCCACTGCCTAGTTGTTTTCTGTGGGACAGATAGTCCTCTCCCACATCCAAACTGCTCTAGGAATATATTTCATCAGGAAAAATATAGGCTCTGATCTTCTCCAAGAATACAAGCTTTCAGTGTTAGAAAAAAGAGGGGATGACTCTGTAATGACTGCATTTAGGGACTATAGATCACATCAGTGTCTTGTTTGCCCATTTCTAAACCATTTAGAGTCATCAGTACTACCGGACTATGTGTGAGCTTCATTCATACTCTTTGATGATGGCATATCATAGGCACACACTGACTGGAATAATGAATACACTATGGATTAGCCGATTCCTTTAATCATGGCAAATACCTGACATTATTACGACTTCAAAACGCAGGGAGCCTGTTCTTATGCTCTCATGCAGAGATAGGTTCTTTGTTTTAAATAGCGTTCAGGAATCACACCAAATAGACTGTGCAGACTAAACCAAGTTAGGATAATGGTCAATGTCCCAGACTGAATCAGGCCCACTTGTATGTAGATTTGGGGTGAAAACTGTAGCCTAGGTTCTGGTTTTTCTAAGAAAAGAATTTCTTCTTGATTGCCTCTACCTTTTTGTACTCCTGCCACGTACGGTGAAAGTCAACATGACCCTCAAACCGTTTTTGTAGTACCGTCCAGCCGCCTCCTTCAGTCTCCATGTCGCAAAAAGCCTTCAGACACAAAGAAAACAAGATGTACTGTGATTGAAGGTTTAAAAAAAAAAATGCCACTGAAACTTGGAGCGTGATGCTTATTTCTAATGTGATGGTGCCACCTAGTTTGAGTTAAACCAGAAACTGTTTAGGAGGGAAATGTTTCCAAGGAGATATCAGATTTAGTTTAAGATTGCATATCATTATGAGAAACCTGTGAACATTATCCACCACCTTCCAAAACAGAATAGGTCTGTGAATGTTAGTTTATTTCTGCGTCTTTTTAGTTAAATGAATGAACTACAGATACGTTACCTTTACCTCTGTGGTGGTGTTGGGGATGGTGAGCGTGTAGACGCCACTTTTGGTGTTTCCTGACTTGTAGACAGCAGCACAGTCCATGTATATGGTTGGGGTGTCTTGCATCATGGCAGTCTTGGGTTCTACAGAACAAATCAGTTTTGTTAATTTATTAGAGCTTTGATGTGTACGATATTGTCCCCAACAAGATCTTTGCCGCTCACTAGCTGTTTTATCATTTACAAAAACATAGATTACTGAGAATGAGTGAAATGGGGAGAACTAAGTATGATACGTTTCAAGACATTATTATTATTAGTAGTAGTAGTAATGTCTGCTCAGGAATAAAGCTGTTTTGATAAGGAAATGTTTTGACAAACGTCTGCCTGTATTTACGACCAGAGAGGAGGAGTTTGATATATAAATGCAGAGGGTGATAATAGTTAAGACTGATCAACAGGGCCTTGCATGTGATAGTCGGGTTAATAGCGACAAATTTGGAATAGAAAGGTGGATTGTTTTGTAACATTTAGGGGTAATTTTAGAATCGTGTTTTACTGTTGAGAGGAAGCATGGTGAAGCACTAAGCAGCACTATAGAGCAAGGTAGACTCTGCTACAGTACAGAGGAATAGGGGGAATTCATGGGCGGGGTTTTGGAGCTTGTGGCTGACATGGGTTCTCTGATGACAGTGCTTAAAGATGTCTGTTTTGTGGAGATTGGGGTTCACTTTACTGTCAAGTGTGATTCTGGGAATCTTGAAGCGATGGGCGATTTCAATTCGTAGCAGCTGAAAGTGAATATAAGTAGTTTTTAAGGTTTGTTGTTAAAAACTGCAAGTACCAGAATATACAATCGGAATATTTTTTGCCGGCAGGCTTTAATATTTTACTGATTTATATATATAAACACTTTCTCCAGAGTTCATAAAAAAAATAGTGGAGTAATAATGACCATTCTCTCTTTTCCTTGTGTATAACAATCCATTCTCCTGGCTTTTTTAAAAGCTGTGAAGTTTAACCCCTTTATTTTCATTTATTGTTCATATGCAGAAAGTTCTACAGAAGCAATCTCAATCTTCTATCTATAAACCATTCATAGTCTTGAGATTTTTTTGTACCCTGCAAGGACTAAAGACACCCTGTACCAGATGAAGGAAAGCAGCCCCAAACCATAACCGAGCCTCCTCCATGTTTTACATTAGCGGCAGTGTTCTTTTCTTGACATGCTTAATTTTTTAATCTGTAAACATAGAGCTGATGTGCCTTGGGAAAAAAGTTAAGTTTTTGTCTCATCTGTCCAAAGGACATTCTCCCAGAAATTTCTTGGGTCTGTCAACATATAGATTGGCAAATTCATTCTCTTTAGAAGTTTTTTTGGGCTCTTTTGTTACCAGTCATATTATCTGTCTGATTTGTCATCAGTTTTAATCATGTAGCCACATCCATGGACATTGGCCACAGTCCCATGCAATTCAAATTTCAGAATATGTGCAACTGTAGCACAGCAACATTAAGCTACTTGGAGATGGTCTTTTAGCCATTGCCTTTAACATCCTTGTCTATAATTTTTCTGCTAATCTCCTTAGGCGCCGTCCACACGAAGACGAACCCTGGCCTAAACGCACAAATTTTTCACCAAACCAGCCTCTCATCCACACGAAGCCGGCGTTTCAGGGGTCTGTAAACGATCTTTTTTTTATTCAGCCTTCAGAGTGGGAAGATTTCGAAACGGCGTTTTCGCATTTCCATCTTTACGCTCTAACCGCATATTTTTTTTACACGCATGCGTCATAGCGTCGCCTCTAAACACGCATGCGCGACCAGTATCACAACAACAATGGCGCCGTTGCTGCTAATGCTACTCACCCTGCTGTCGGGCTTACAACAGAATCTTCTTCTTCTGGAATATCTCCAGGAAGAACAGAGCAATATCGACGACATAGTTCAGCACCTGAATTTGACTTAACCACGAAAATGGACCCGCAGGGCAACCATGTATAAATATTAGTGCGCATGCCCAACATTTCGTCGCTTATTTTTGCTTTGGCACCACAGCGCCACTTACAGGCCTGGCATACATTTTGCAGCGTTTTCATGCATTCGTGTGGACGCTCACATTTATTTTACGTCTCTGTCTTTACGGCAAACGTTTTGGAAAATATCAGCGTTTCGTGTTCGTTTTGACTTCGTGTGGACGGGGCCTTAGACAACCCTTCCCCTTGCTTCCTCTGGTTCATGTTGAGTGGGGTACACACCATGTCACCAAACAGCACAGTGATCACTTGTAGCCCTATATATAGGATCCCTAGCTGATTACAGGATTGTAGACACCTGTGATGCTAATTTAGGGACAAAGCTTGATTTAATATATCTCTTTGGTCACATTATTTTCAGTGTTTTCCAAGGATACCATTATTTTTGTACTGGCCGTTTCATGCCATTTTTATCTAAGCATGAACGAAAGATGATTATAAGGTAGCTACATCCCCAACGCCACCCATATCTTCACTCAGACAAATAAAAAGATGTTTTAAAAAAGAAAAAAACAGAGTAAATGAGGACCTTAGTTTATCTTGGCAGTATGAGAAGATGGTGCGAAGAAGGGTAAAGAAATGTCCCTGATGGAGAACTGTTGCTATTCTTTCCGAAAAATAAAAGCAGAATTTGTTTGAAGGTTTCACGCTTGTCTTTCATCTTGAGGAGTAAAGCTTTGTCTGATAAATGCTATATATTTGCAGTACCTCAGTAAATGTGTGCTGTGAGGTTTAAAGATGCATACTTTTTCTGATGTAAACAGTACCTGCTGCTTAAATTGCCAACAATGGTGAGTTCTGTTTGGACTCACCTGGAATAGAACCAGATGATAATGTCTGTATCAAGCTGTTCACTGTGTCCAACAGCTCCTGCTGTTGATGGTGTAAAGCAGAGTTGTTGGAAGAGACTTTAAGCAGCTGCTGCTCCAGTTCCCCGATGATGGATGTCTGTTTCAGTATTAAGGACTGAAGATGCTCCTTTTCTAATTGAAGTGTTTTCAGCTCCGCCTGCCTCTGCTGCTCAATCTCCACAACTTTTTTCTCTAGAAGACTAATTGAAAAGAAAAAAAAACAAATTCAAATGGTAACTCTGGCTTTGATTAATCCAAAAGTTGTTGGTAATTGATTAAATGATTAAGCTTTTGATATAATTTCCTCACCTGTTTTTATCATTCAGTTTGCTGATTTCATTTGATTGGACTATGAGTTGTTTTTCCAACTTGTTGGTCGACAGGGAATTCTCAAGAAGTTGACGCTCTAGTCGAGTTGTGTGATGAATTACCTAACACCAAAGTAACAAAACAGAAATTATGACATACATTTATCATTTAGCTGAAAACTAGTTAATTAATTGTAATGAAACACTGATATATGTCAGGTTATCGGTAATAAACGGTAACCGTGACATGAAATCAACACATTTAGCTGTGTTTTCTTTTTTTTTTTTTATCAATTTAAACATAAATCCTGTTTGCACATGGAGATTGAACTGTAGGCTTTTGTAAAATGGAAAAGCTGCACAGGAAAGCACATCCATATTGCAATACTCCAGACATACCTGAACAAGGGCAAACCACTGAAACTACGCATATTTCCACACTCCGATGTATTGAACTAAACTCTGGGGTTGATGACCTTGCCACTAATTTCCCAGTTCGGAGGAACTGGACTCAGCAAAACGCAGGTTGTTTACATGGATCCTGGCTGTGTATCTCCATTGGAGCTGTTGATGTCTTTGAACAGACGGATGTCTGATTGTGACAAACTGATAGACCCCTTCTCTGGGAATACGAGTGTGCTAATAACAGGAAATGCTGTACAGTTGGCTCACACAGGGTCATTGACGTGCAGCCACAATAATAAACTGACGTCTCATTGCCTGTTTTGCTCCATTGCTTATTTTTTAACATGCTGAAGCTATATTATTCACTGCAGTGTGACACAGAGAACCCTTAGGTGTGAGATTTTGCTTGCACAGAACAGGAAGGCTGAACAATTGCATGCTGTTTTACCTTTTGCATGTTATTTCCATGTGTTTTTTTTTGGGGGGGGGGGATCAGAGCATAATGACCAGCCTCACCTGTGCTTCCATATTGGTGAGTTTTCTTGTTTGCTCAGCAGTTTGACTCAGCAGGTTTGTCCCAATCTCAATCATTGTAGCTGTGTGGTTGTGTACAGCAGCCTGATGGAGATAGAGCATGTCCTGCTTCATGCTGTCCTGTATGTAGTTCTCCAACTGAAACAGATTGGGGGGAAAATGTTAACAGGAGATCATTTCAAAGAATTACTTACTACACGAGACCATGTATGTCTTCATACGTGCATATAAGGATGAGTGATTAATCTGTTTTGTCAATCTTAATTGTTGTTTTGGAGATAAAATTTTTGGAAAATCTGGATTTTTTTCCCCCCCACCAATGCACTCCTTTGTCTTGCATAGTTTAGAGTAACTTTAGTTCCTAATTTTTTTGTCCCAAGATGTCTTGTCATCATTGATAAACTTGCTTACTGTGTAATACCACTAGCTGCAAACATATATGGTGTGATACTTTCATTGCTTGTTTAAGAATTTGGATTTTGTTGTCCTTTAAATTAACGTTATCTCTTGAAGGGGATGATTGAAAATAAAGCTTTTTTTTTTTTTTTTTTTGCATTATGAAACTTAAGGTTAAAAATTTATTAATTGCAGTTGGTAAGAAATAAACCGAAGATTACATATTTAAACCATATTGCCCAACCCAATTACATCTTGCTTGCTGTGTTCTGATGTTTTAATTGAGAAAGAAGTTAAATTGGGGATAAGAGTTATTTTCAAAAGGTACTTTTGATCTGATAAATGTGTCTCAAAGGAAAATATTCAAATCTAATTGGATTTATCTTTACTTCTGGTAAAAGACTAAAGAAAACATCTGTGATTTTGTTTCTTCAATTTAAAGTACCTCTGAATAGATAGCCTGCCCCTCCCCCATCTGTTGCTACCCTTTACCCCAGCTTCAAAGGTTTGTAGAACCAGTTGGATTTTTTTTTTAAACCCGTGGCTATGAAAGTGAATCCAGCTTTTTTGTTGATGAACAAATGTTTTCACACCTTTTAATGAGGCAGTTTATGCATCTTTTGTCAATATATATGTTTCCATATACCAAATAATATCTCATAACAGCCTATGTCTATTTTTGGGGATAAGAAATAGGCACCTTCTAAAAGTGTTTCAAGATTTGTATGCTGTTTGCTATATTCATCTAAAACATATTTTTTCTGTAACAGAACGGTTACTCAGTCATTACTATTTACAAATCTTCTGTTAACTAACATGTCTTTTAAGAAAAACTAGAACATTGTATAAGCAAAATTGGTTGATGACGAAATTTTAGGAGATTTTTTTCCAATAATGTCTTAACACCTTCAGTGAGCTTCAATTTTTCCATTGTTTATTGAAAAGACAAAATGTTTCAAACTTCTCCTGTAACCATGATGAAAGTAAACATTTGGACCATTTTAAAGCAATTAATGTTGATGTAGCGACACACATTCTCATATTTGTTCTAATCTACCTGACAGAAAGGCCAGATTTAGACTGAAACTAATCATTAAGTTATTTCCTGCTGTGTGTTCCTGAGCAGCAATCAGGTCACACGACTCGTAAACAGGATGGAAGTGTTGAGTGAGGAGTTACATCCTTCATTACGGTCCCACTAAAAACCAACGTCAGTAGGACCCTCTGTCATCAACACCAAGCTTACATAAGTTTTTCTTTTCATTTTCTCATCATTAAGTATCGACAAAATATTTTTGCCAATAAAATCTTAATCTCAAGAGATTCTTCATGTGATTTTCTTTGTCTTTCTTTCTTTTTTTTGTATATGGTTTGTTTATTTTCTGGGGTACAGACAGATGTGTGGAGCGTTATTATTTCAATTGAGGGCAGGACATCCGATTGACAGTTTGTGATCTAATCAGTTGTTTACTTCTAGTGCCTGAAAAGCGTCAGAGAGGAATGACGGAGTTCCTCAATCACAAGAGACTCTGACTTATTTTGTTTTAGCTGTCATCTATTGAAGGAGAAAATAAACTCATCGGACAAATTAATTGACTGATTACCAATTATTTAAAATCAGAGTTTGTATGCTGCGTTCTGTGAAATCTTTGAAGCTATTTATGCTTCTCTTTCATCTCTCTATTGATTCATCCATCAGTGCAGTCTTCAAACAACAACAAAAAACCCCTAACAACCTAGTGAGCCACTTTTCCTGAATTAAGCCTGTTGTATCCTCCATTCATGCATCATTCAGTGTTCTTTGCTAACTTGTTCCTCCTTATGGTCTCGTTGCGCTGAAACATTTCCCATGCATTATGCCCATGGAAAGTTTATACTTTATTAGATTTTAAGCCTCATCCACTGCAGCCGTCTGACAGAGTATTCATACTTATCAGATATGTTAAAAAAATTTCTCCCTTTTATTATTTTGGATGAAAATGGGCTTTTGTTTATTTGACATCTCATTCTAAACAGCTTTTTCATCAAATCTGTAACAAATGGGGAATAAATGTGTTCTGTTAACTATTCCTCTTTAAACAGGCTGAGCCATCTTGCCTATTAATCTCAGAGTGAGGTTCTAGATGTGAAACGGGTAGGCCAGCTTATTTGAAAAATATGACTTTCCATAAAACTATGGCAATCTGTAGCCATTGTAGGTTATAGCTTCTGCACGTTTCGATTTATATAGTCCTCCAAATTAAAATATCTGTCGTCTCGCCTGTCTAGTTTTTTTGTCTCTTATCCTTTGTAATGTGCAGTAAACATTGACAAGTTGATCATGAGAGTGGTCATAATATGGAAAATAGGTTTGTGATTAATGATGATAATAAATAGTAACTGATGTTTAAAAAAATAGAAAAACTAACAGTATGATTAGGGCTTTTACTTCTTCCTTTAGGACTTATATCCTGTCCTTGATTCCATAATATCATTTAATATAAGTATATTGGGATATATAATTTAATGCAATTCAAGTCTGCATATCTATTATCGATATCTAGTCTATGTTGTAAAGGGAAAAGTTTCATATTTGGAGGAATATTTGTGTTTGTATGGAGTGAGAGATTAAAAGCCAACGAGTCTGATGAATTTTTGAAATACTTTAAATTGTCACTTTTGTTGTTATTAACAAATACCACTAAGTATTGGGATAGTGTTTAAGTCCTTAATGTCTCATCGCTAATGTTCAGATTTGTCACCAGGAAATATGAAAAACTTATTCACCAGAACAAATGGAAACATGCTAATGGAATTTTAAACTGAACACCTTATCAGTCCAAAGTTATCTTCTTGGAAATGGTATTCTGTGAAATATGCCCCCAATGCGCCTAAGAGTTTGCTTTGACATGTGAAGCAACACTTGAGGTCGTATGAGCAAGTTGTTCTGTCTGATGGTTCTCAGGGGATGGAGTGGGCTCAAACCTATTTTTAAATAGATTTATTTCTTTTTTCACATGTGGTTAATTTGTTTATTACTAACCATTAGCCTCTTTCTGAAAATGTATATATATTTTTTATTTTTATAAGGAATACCTCAGTAGACAGAGACAGGATAGCCTCTTGAACATTGGTACTTAGGTTGAATCTTAATCCCTCACCAAGTCTTTATACTCTTTTCATTTTGCCTGAAAGAAAAGGACAAACCTGTCTAAAATAAGGTAAAGTTTATCGTAATCTTTTAAGGCCTCTAAGAAAGAGTTTGTCCTTTATAACAAAGCGTATGGGCTGGCATTGGAAATGTTACCTCTCAATAAACCACACACAAAAAAAAAACCTTTTCTCTCAAACAGCATGCTGTGTCTTGAATTAACACACAGGCCTTATTATTTTTTCCTTCTAAATGAGATTGATACTTAACTTTTATAAGGTATTATAACAGTTTTACCTTAAGCAGCCACTGCGTGTTGTTCTCCATTCCCATTTGCAGTTGCTCCAGTCTCTGAACCGACTCATCGTCCATAGGTCCATCCTTTTGATCAGGATAGTTGTAGGTGCTTTGGCAGTTCTCTTGCTCAGGCAACAAAAAGGTGTAGCTACAAAGGCCGTTTTGGATCTGATACTGCCTCTTGCCAAAAGCACCATATTGGATTCCCAGACCAAAGCAAAAACTTAAAATTATTAAGTCCATATAAACCATCTTCATTACTCTTTGCTTAGATGTTTAGACAGATGGATTTTCAGTGTTCTGTAGTCTTCTCTTTTTAGAGGTCCGTCCCTTGCTGCATCCAAGTATAAAGACTCTCTGAAGTTTCTGTAGACTCCTTTTTAAGTCTCTCTTTGGTAGGTGGAGAGAAAGCAATCAGGAATTCTAGGTAGCGAGTCCTTAGGTCAGTGGTGCCGAACTGCATGTGCTCGCCTTTCATCAGTCCTCCAACCACTTGCCAAAGTGGTCTAAACACTAACTGTGAATTTAAACCACACCTCCCACCCCCCCTTTACTGTGACCAGTCAGTGTGAAAACATGTCAAGTGTAGATTCCTTTCAGTACTCACTAAGCAACACACAGAAGCAGATGCACAGACTACACATCCTCCGGTATATCCTCTACAGATCACACGTGGTTTTTTTCAGGATGCTGCTGTCCACGCTCAGCGCAGTCTTTGATGGCGTCTTCCCATTCAGTGAAAATCCGGCTTACATCACAAATACCAGACGCTTGAATGGGAGATTCAACGGAAGGGCATTTATTTCCTCTTATTGCTTCCTTTTACCTTATAAGAGGTTTCATCTATTTTATCCTGTACACTTGGCCTGTTTAATTATAAATGTAAACTACCAAACTAATTCAATCAAGCTAACTAAGTAAAACTAAGTTTAAAAAAAAGAAAAAAAGATGCAATACAATTAATAAAAAAAAGTAAAGCCAAGAAATTAAAAATATATGAATAGACTATGAGCATCATATATATCTGCTGGACTGCCATACACAAATAGAATTAAAGTTAAGTAAAAAAAAAATGAGTTTTAAGCAGTGATTTAATACTGTATTGACTGAGCTTATATAAATCTATAATTTACACCATATAATAATTGACCTTTAGTAATCTCACACTGGAGAAATTTACCTCTGCATTTAACCCATCCCATTGGGGAGCAGTGTGTTGCCATTGTGCGGTGCTCGGTGAACAGTGAGGGGTTAAGGTTCTTGCTCACGGACCCAGAGTGGAAGACCTGATGGACCACCACTGAAAAAGCCCAATCACCACCTTTATGTTTAAAGCTAGATCATGGAAAATACCAGACATACTGGCTGGTAAATTAAGCCCCTTTACTTATAAGAGGAGATATATAAAAAAATAATAAAATAAACTCAGTAGCCCACATATACAAATTAAGAACAGAGGACTTTAGACTGACCCCAGACTTGTAAAAGATATGGATGATAAAAATAATCTATTCTTTTTTTCTGTCCAGATGTTATAAAGATGTAAACAGTTAATGTGTAGGAACCCCTGAAAATAGGGATTGTTTGTTTTGGTTTGTTTGTTTGCTGCTGGAAACTGAAGTGATCATTTGATAACCTCCAACCAAGGTGTAATCTGCAAACTGCATTAGCAGAAGAAGAGATCAGAGCGACAGTAAATGATTTGATGTCTAAGGAAAAATCTAAATTGTAATTTTCAGACGGGCCCCATAATAGTATGCTCTGTAAATGAAATACATCATTACAATGCTATTTCCCAGAAATATATGTAAGTAACTGCTTTACTACCTGTTGGAATAGCTATCATGGAATCAACTTAGGAAAGCCTAACTGCTGTTTTCTAAAGCTACAACATTTTCGGGGAATTTTTTTGTGTAAACACACTGTAGTTTGCCTTTATGCTTAACTACTTCTGTGTTGAAGAACTTCAATTTGACCACCTTTCGTTGTCAGCTACAGCTAAATCATTCTTTGGCAGGAAAGCCTCGGACTGGTTCTCTGTAGAATTGTAGGAAGTAAGCTGATGTAATCCTGACTGTATGAGGGAGATGCAACATATTTAAGGCACATTACTAAAGAGGAAGGACTTGTCGTCATTTTAAAAACACCAACTTTTTACAGGTGTTCTGGGCGTTCCGTGACACGGGCCGCTCATTTGCTCCAGTCTTCTGCGTCTGTTCATTTTAAGGTTATTGACAGCATGGAGGGAGGCAGGGAATAGCAACAATTTTTCATTTTAATAGCATTAACCCCAAGGGGCTATTCATTCATTGAATCTATCACTGTATCCTATGCATACCACATGCCAGACTGTTTCCTCATGCTGTGAGCATAGGGGACATCTGACCAACTGTCATGCAAACAGTGCAACTCACTATGTGGGAGATGTCAAGATTAATTTATTCTTGCTTTGTTACAAGGCTGTCTGCCTGCACCCTCTAGCTACCTGCTGACTCGCTGAGCCCAGCAGGATTAATGCTACAAAATATATGGCCGCAACGTATCGATTTGTCTACTTAAGTAAAGATGGAGTTTTATATGTGAAGTAGTCTGTTGATTTTAGGATGAGAAAGCATGAAAAAGAATAGTTTTAACAGGCGCTCCAGCTTACGGTTTATACTCGGTAATATAATTTAGCATATGTGAGTTTCTCTTGGTCACTTTTTTACCCACCAGTTTTGTCCCTTCCTGGGGGTTTGTAATTTTTTTTTTCCAGAAAAGTTATGTTATCTAACAGGAGATGTTTTGTACTCTCTATGCATCAGCTCATCCCACTAGGGGGGTATTTCTGCTCACATAGTCAATCGATTATTTTGTTATTGTCTGTGTATTTTTCAGTCTACTGTAAGGGACTGCGGTGATACGACTCCAATAGATGTGCTCTACCAAAAGGATGACGCATAGAGTAATTTTATGAATTCTATGCAGCATTCATATATTTAAATCCCACAGCTGTTGACCTCATCCATGTTCTTTTTTGGTTTTCAAATATCAGAAATTTAGATTTTTAGTGCCTTTTGGACATGACTCCAGCTCTATAGTTTCCTATTTCAATATAAAAGTATCTGACTTTGTTAGAAACATTTCTTTTTTAAGAAATTAATTGGAACAGTTTTCAAATGAAAAAAAAAAAAAGTTCTGTATCTTCCTTTACTTTCATCTTCAAACACGATTCATACTTTAAAGTGTATCGAAACCCCATGTAAAAGCATCACCCCGCCCACAGACAAATTAAGGAATTTTCACCCAAGTCGGTAGTGCCAAGAGCCTCTAAGAGACATGGCCAGGTTTGGCAATGAGCAGAGGGGGTTAAGCAGGGGTAAGGTCAGAAAGAGGGACAGTGATTTTGATAATATCAAGTAATCTAATTGTCTAAAATAAAATGCTACACTGAAAAACAGTATAGCCTGCAACCTGTATAGGTCACCACCAAAACAATTTTTCGCCAAATGTTGCAGAATCAAAAAATTTTACACAAAAATGACGCATTTTCCCCCATAACATAAATAAAGCTCCCTTGAAGCCCAATTTTTGCTGCAAACAATAGAATTTATTTGAGTTTAAGTTCCTCATTAACGATGTTAGACATTTTGGTATTATTAAATAGCTTAACGATTTAAAATAAAACCACAGTTTAAGTCTCATACTTTTAATCATTTATCACTGCCTAATACTGATGGCATTACTAATTTCACTGTAAAACTTAGGCGCCATGTTTTCAACTAATTCCTCTTAATGCTGTACCTTTAAACTATAACTAATAATTTCAACATTATGATTATGTGTAAGGTACAATCTAGATTATTTTTGTTTAAATGGAGGAAAATATGGCTCTTTTTCAAAGGCTTCTCAGATAGAAGCCTTGAAAACTATCTCACAAAAAACATTCCATCCTCTTTTTCATGGAGCTGCTTGTAAAAAAAAATCAGTTTTTTAAATTACACAATTGTTCATTACCTTAAGCTCGCTACTGTGTCCCAACATCTGACCTGCAAGACCATAAAACATACACGTCTGCATTCCTCAAAAAATTGTGCAACCAATTGTCTCAAAAACTTTTAGATAGGGCCTACTTGGTTCTAAGGATGTATGCTATGTTACGGCTTTTTTAATAATGTGAATTAAAAAAAAGAGTCTCTCTATTGAACAACTATGACATTTGACTATTTATTTGACTATAAATATATAGTTTATATAGATATATATAGTTGTTTTTTTACCAACAGATACAGTATAAGAGATGCAATAAAGTAACACCTTGATACTATCGCTGAAGTAGTATTATTTAATATTACTTAATAATAATTTGAAATATTTAACTTAATCTCAGTTGAATTCAGTTGAAACAAACCACACTAATATTATTGCAAGATAGATACTTTGAAGACTGGATTATGAGAGCATTTACAAAATGTCACCATGATAGTAATGAAAGGATCCATGGTCAGTTTGTATTTTTTATAGCAAATGGCCTTTTTACCCTACCCAAACTGAATGATAAGAAAAACTATAGTAAATAAGTGAACTGGCCTTCAGCTTTATGAATAATCTGATGGCAGCTGCAAAATAACACTGCACAAACCCATCCTAAGCCAATAACTCGGCAGAAAACAGGAAAAGGATACTTAAGGTCATTCCTTGGTGAAAACCAACATCAAAACAAACGCAGAGTGAAGTTAGTCAATATTATTCAGTATGGTTTGGCTTAGTGTGAAAAACATGTCACATGTATTAGTTGACTATATTTTTTTTCTGTTACTGCTAAGCATAAAAAAACCCCAAATTTTTTAATTAGAGTGTTAATAAACCAGTCACAATATATATTGTCTTAAATTGAATCCTAAAGGGTTTAAAACTGGTTAAAGTGTCATCCTGTTAAAGAACAAACACATATTGGATCTTCTCTTCAGCCATAACCTAGTACAGGTCACGGATTGAGGAAATGACCAAGCATCCTGGTCAGACTTTTACCTTCAGGTCGCTGAAGAATGCTAACAGCAAAAATGAACCAACATCTAGCCTCTGACTACCTCAGTCAGAGTAGTCAGAGGCTAGAAATAACTACAGCTTTACACTACTACAACCATCCTTCCTCTTTATATATATATATGTGTGTGTATTTTATCTTGTCCTTTATATCCCCTTAAGTGTCTCTCTATTTCCTGTGGTAGTTGTTTGAACAGCTGAATATCATGTGAGCAGAGGTGTCAAAAGTATTA